ATATCCGAACCGTACTGCGCCTACTCCACTAACGAGTCTAGGGCAGTGCGCCTACGCCTACTCCCTAACCCTAAGCCCTAGCCTTAACCCTAACCCTAACCCTAACCATATCAGATAGTTACCAGGGTATGTTCGGCGGTATACCGGACCGTACCCAGGGTACGCTTCGCCCGCAATACACAGGGAGACATAGACCCTATCAGCCCTATTGCGCCATTGCCTTGCTCTCTGCATAAAGTAACGCAATACACTATCAAGCATATATACTCGCGGGACCGCGTCCCTGCACCAGACGCTCTGTCACCCGTGTGGGCGGGCGTTCCTTCTTTTCTTACCGTGCACATGCCACTCCTTTCTTGTCCAGAATATGTCCGAGAGGTACAGAGTAGCAGTTCCAGCCGACTGCGACGTCGGCCGCTGCGGCGACCATCGCAATATCTACAAGATTATAACTGTAACGAGGAACGATACACGAAGCAACGCTTGATGAATATATGCACTGCTGAAATGTGCATGAATTCATTCTGGGTCGCAGCCCCCGCGCGTGCGTTACTGGGCGTGTTGTCGCCAGATCGATAGGCAATTGTGAACGCCGAGAGAGAGAAGAGTGGGGGAGAGAGAGAGAGGAGAGAGCAGAGAGAGAGAGGAGGGGAGGAGAAGAGACAGGAGGAGAAGAGAGAGAGAGGGGGGAGGGAGAGAAAGGGAGGGAGGGGGAGGGAGAGGAGTGAAAAAGACAGAGAAAGAGCGAAGAGAGAGAGAAAGAGATGAGAGGGAGAGAGAGAGAGGAGAGAGGAAAAGGGACGTGGGAGGAGAGAAGAAGAGGAGAGGAGATGAGAGGAGAGTCGACGAGCGCGCGAGAGAGAGAGAGAGAGAGAGGAGACGAGAGAGAGAGAGCGAAAAGACGAGAGGAAAGAGAAAGATGAGAGAAAGAGAGGAGAAGAGAGACTCCGAGAAGACGCATGAGAAAGGGAGGAGAGAGAGAGACGAGAAGAGACGATGAAAGAGGAGAGTGAGACCGAGATGAGAGATGGGGAGAGCGAAGAGCAGAGCGAGAGAGAAAGAGGAGAGAGAGAGAGAGAACCGAAGCCGAGAGGGAGAGACGAATGAGAGAGAGAGAAGAGAGGAGACGAGGAGAGAGAGAGAGACGAGAAGAGCGAGAGAGAGAGCAGTGAGGACGCAGACGACGAGAGAACGCGAGAGAGACGAAGAGAGAGAAAGGAGCAGGGGACGATATAGTAGTATCCTAGATATATGCTCTGAGCGCGAACGCGGTGGCGGGAGGGCGCACTTGATTCGGTTGCCAATGAGTTTATCAGAAGAATACCTGGCTACAGTACACGTCAATTGAGCGCTGTCGCTCTGCGGCACTTGTTATTTTTTTTATTTCTTCTGGCAGACACGACTACATTGGAGAATGTTTAGTCACACTGAGGGAACTTTCTAAAGGCTCTAGCGCCAGTAATGTGTTTGATGTAAGTCTACCTATATATAATTTACATAGTCAGCCATGACTCTTCTGTATACATCTATGTTTATTTCTTTAAAATGAGTCTTTTTCCAATTAATGTTTTATTTTCCTGAACATTTAGAAGTCAAAAATAATGTTTACAATATTAGAATTATCCGCAGTGTAAAATTTGTTCATGTTTTCAGTGTGTAAATTCGGCGAAGCAGAAGAAGAAGAAAGGTTACAAAAACTCAGGAACGGTGAGACTTCAATTGTGGCTTAATCCATGCTATTACGTTTCTCAATATTATGTCAATCGATCAATATCTGCGATCATCCATATTCTACTGAAAACTGTAGAATGTTACACATCTGGTAGTCAATTGCAAGCATCTATAAATTGAGAATAGATTTATTTTTGATTATAGAAAACAATGTACATGTGGTGACTGACTGCATATCTATAATTATTACGATTTCAGATAGAGCTCATGCAGTGTACTATTGTCCAAGCCTACAGTTTCTTGGACTTTGTCAAGGGAGGGTAGGTGTCATTTCAAACAAAAACATCTTAACTGAACTGCCTTAACTAAGTTTACTGAAAATATCTATGACTTTCATACATAACATTTACAACGCATGCACGCTCACAAACCACACACGCTCACTCATGCATACAGGCACAAACACACAGCCTATACATACGGTATGTTTGCAGCTTTTGCATGTAATATATTGTAATTTACGATGAACACAAACGAACACACACACACACACTCACCAACTATCTGTCGATTTTCTCCAATCTCTCTCCGGAGAGGTAGCCATTTTTTATGCCGACCTACTGCTGCAAGTACTTACTCTCTATTTAGAAAATATAATTTCACCAAAATACCATTTCATTCTGGTATATTGGTACATTGGGCTGCTGGACATATAACTGCATATGTAGTACACACATCGCCATCTATTGGCCAACTTAAAATTGAGCAGTGTTACATCAGTCAGGGCATTCAATCATTGCTAAAGAGAGGCAATAGAACTATTGTTTTATGTATATTTTGTTGAGTTTATACTTTTAAGTTTGAAAGCACATATATATATCCTGTCAGTGATGTTATATAAAAGTCATAGGGTGCATAGCCGTGCAAAATTTTTCTGCAGCATAGTGGAAGATCTGTGATTGCGGATTCCAAATAAAATAATATTTTCTTAATATTATACGTTTAAAATATAGACAAAATGCTCCTCGCAAGGGTGGCGCTAGATAGATGTAAGGTGGCTACAGCCGATGCCCCTCTCATCGCACTGTTAGGGTAAATCGTCCGTAAATCGTCACGGAACATTCAATGAGAAAAGTCTGTAGTCGCTCTTCATCTGTAGCGCTCTGCTGATCGCAAAAACTTATGAAAATAATCAGGAAGATGTAGGGTGCAACCCTCTTCACATGTACATAGGTTCAAGAGCATGTGAGATTGCATTAGATAAATAGACAGCATCAACCAACGACATCTGTTCTGACGACAGAGCTAAACGACCATGTAACCCAAAATATCATCAAATTTTGCAAGCAGGGGGCGCCACATGACGGACATGCGTGGGTGTTTATTTATGAGTGATATAAACATGAAGCAGGAACTTGTGTAAACTCGGTGCAGCTTTGCGAAATACTTTGCTCAATTACATTAATACATCGATAAATATGGCAGGTTTTATGCCAGCATTCAACGCGGGATCTGCGGCTATTCCAGCAACAAAAGTGGAATTATCTATATCATGCAGGTATTAATTAATTATGAACTTATTAAATTGGTTTGTCTGTCGTTACGTATAAACACGTAGGCCATGGGGTGAGTAACAACGCAAACATGGGGTGATACTCCATTTAATAGGAGTGTTCCCAATGAATATATATGGTCATGGTCATATATTAGTTTGTGGTTTAATGTCATTTAGGTTAGGGTTAGGGTTAGGATTATCAATCATTAATCATTAATCATTAATTATATCAAAGTTGGGAACACTCCGAATGGAGCGTTAGCCCAAACATGGGTATACATAAAAAGATTTTACTACTGATGCTGACAGTGATAGCGAAATTACAAAGTGTTTATAGTCCCCCCGTACATACACACTAATGGAGGTGTCATTAGGTTAGGGTTATACCACAGCCCACAGGCACTTGGAACGTCTCAATTAAAAAAAAAGAAGGTAAATAAACACGAAATGTATTTACTACCAGTCTTAATGTTTCTCTACTCTATTTCTCCTATTATTGCCGATAATTACCCATAAATGCCGGTCAAATGCTCATCTGCAACACATAAGTACACCACGTACACGCCCTTGTCCGGAAATGCAGACGTTATAACTCCGCTTTGCTAATCTGAGGGTGCGAGTTTATCCCATTACTGCATGGGGTCTGCGTCGGCTCGAACTACACACGCCGCCCTTAGATACAATACTGTAACCCAAACACAGATAGGGGGTTACATTATTGTATCTGTGTTTGGGTTACATTATTGTATCACATTATTGTATCTAGCCCGCCCTGTGCACAAACAACATGAATAAGAGAGTTCATTTTTCTTATTCTCTCTTATTCATGTTGTTTGTGCACAGGGCGGGCGTGCGGTGTACTTGTGTGTTGCAGATGAGCATTTGACAGGCATTTACGGGTAATTATCAGCAATAATAGGCAAAATAGAGTAGAGAAACATTAAGACTTTGGTAGTAAATACATTTTGTGTTTACATTATTTTTTTTTAACCCTAACCCTAACCAGGGTACGTTCCGGCAGTACCCTGGGGGACATAGACCCTATGAGCTGTATTATACGTGAGTCCTAGGAGTGAGCTGTAACGTATATTAATACACTAACAGGGGTAGAAATTAACATTTGAACAAGGGAGTCCAACGGACTCCCTGCCCTCAAAAAGAGGGAGTCCGCAGCAAAATGAGGGAGTCCGCAGTCTGAGGTTCAAAATTAAAGATATTAAGAATAATGCATGTGCTTATTTTTAAGATTCATGCAGTTGCACGTCTGCCAATTTTCTTTGGACATTAGCTGAAAAAATACAGTAATTCTGCGAGGCCGTGCTTCGGAGCGAACTAGTTAGTATGGCAGAATTTTCAGGGACTCATACGGACTCCTGCATATGTCAAATCAGGGAGTTCGACAGTAAATCAGGGAGTATTTGACTCCGGACTCCCGTTAATTTTGCACCCTGCACTAATACAGGGGCGTAACAAACTCCTTGAGCCTGGGGAAGTCTAATAAATGACCAATGGTGACACATGCAGCAGTTAAATGGGTTAATTGTAACTTATTCAGGCTGGTACGTGTAGGCGTGGCTATATAATATGATTCTGTGTGTTTATAATCGTAGACCTACACATTCATCACAATCGCGCAATGTTTTTGACGACATAAATCTTCATTTTTTCATCTTTTAGGAATCTGGTAGACATGGACGTATTTTCAAAATCGGATCCAAGTAAGTCTATCGGCATGGCAGTGAGTAATTGTTTCAAATGATATGTTTTCCGTAAGTTTATTGTACGTTTTAATGTTGAGTACATGAGCTAACATGTCGATATATTGTTTTCTTCCAGTGGTTGTGCTGTATATAAAAGAGTTTGGATCACAGACGTTTAAGGAGGTGAGAGCGCAGCACGAAATCGCACACGTATCAGGCGCTACGTAACTCGACGACAGACGTACAGAAACCTATGAAGAAATGAAAGGACAACATATACGGCTCTAGCATAGATCCATTGTTGGCAGCAGTAATTTCGAGTAGTCGAAGCATATATGCTATAGTACTTGTACTAGTTACCAATAGGTGGCACTACATGCAATGGATAGAAAGGTAGAAGAAATCAGAGGGTGCTAATTGCTGTTTTAAACGTGGCAGTAGGTGTGTTTATCGCATGTCAATTCCTAGGTGTAAATCCGTAGAATCACAAGAACATGGTTACTATGAGCAGCTAATGCCACCTGGTAGTGGAAAACGTCTGCTTATACTATATACACTAGGTGCCACATGGTATCTCCCTCTCACCTTAATGGTGCTGGAATAAAGCATGTTCTGTTATAAACTTGTTACACTTGGCAGGTTGGTCGGACTGAGACGATAAACGACAACTTGAACCCTGATTTTGCGAAGAAGTTCATTGTGGATTATTTCTTTGAAGAATCCCAAAAGCTGAAATTCGAAGTGTAAGTGCTGTATATATATATATATATAATTCTAGGCAGTACCAGCTAGAAAGTTCGCTATCAAAATGGTGATTTCATGCTGTCAGTAGGATTTTTCACTTACTACACATTCATGTTTGTGGATTTCATCATGGAGGTAGTTTGCGACATTGAGAACTTCTTAATTGATTATTATCAACTATTTATATTCCAGATATGATGTGGACAGTGCAAGTAGAAACTTGCGTGAGCATGTAAGTAAATCCAACCTCTTACTTGATCACTGCACAACGTTAGGCACAATAGGAGATTGGAGAAAGTAAAAGTAGAATTTGCACGATTCCGTCAGCTTTCTAGTATGAGATGCTAACTGGTTAGAATGTCACAGCACGTGAGCGTAGCACACATGCGATGGTACTGCGTTTCAGGCATGTCAGTACAGCATAATCATGCTTTTGCATTGCATGGAAAGTGGTTGGCAGTCAGCAAAAGTCAAATGGTGTAGCTCAGATTTACACATGTTATCGGCATTCTAATTCAAAGATTTAATACAGTAGTTTAACGAAGTAAAAGCAATGTTAAACACTGAAAATGATCTGCTGTAAGCTCATGTAGAGTGAGGTCAATGCGAAAAAACAATTGTGTGAAAATTGTATTAATCTACATCGTTTCTCTTGAGATTGACTCAGTGTTTAGCATTCTTTGTTAGCCTAGCTAGCTATTCATCTAGCAATATATGCAAATGATAAAGTGGCAGAAAATCGTAATCACAATCACTAAAAAGTATCGTCATCATCATCATCTTCATCATCATCATCATCATCATCGTCATCATCGTCATCATCGTTAAACATGTCTAATCGGTGACTATCGTCGACATATAACCTTTAACTTCACCACATGCCTCGCATGCGGTTCTTCCTCTCTCTCTCTCTCTCTGACCCGCTGCCAGGATTTCCTCGGATCGTTGGAGTGCACGCTGGCGCAGGTTGTCACAGAGGCAGTGCTGAGGAAGCCGCTACAGGGTCCGATGAAAAACAGCGGCGCCATCATTGGTGAGCGCCATCTGGCGGGCTTTTCCCACGATCGGGAAGCGAGGTCGACACAATGGAGTGTGTCCCGGAAGATTCCCCCTCCGCATTGTTTCGCGTCCTGTGAAAACTAACTGCGCGTCTTAGATAGCGGACTAACAGAATGTTGCGTTAACGTTTGAAGTGAGTCGTAATTCGGAGTTGGTCGATCGTCTCGTGTGAGAATAAAAGGTTCCGTGGCTGTTTCTCGAAGGTAAAATCTGTCGCAGTTATGTGAAATGCGTTTGTACATAATATCAGGAGTAGATAATAGGGAAGGAGTGTGACATCAATAAACAAGGGAAATTCGTCATTTACTAGCCTTATAATACCTATGATTTACTACGCGTAACTCATCCAACTTGAGCTCAAATCGTACACAGTATCAGGTGAACGAAACATTGTAAATGTGGGAGAGACATTGTACTGATGAGAGAGATGGAAAAATCCTCCACACAAAACATTTGCGACGAACAACCCGGCTCACGTCTCACCCCCCCTCTCTCCTCGTCTGCTTTCAGTTTGTGCCGTACCGTCAGTTCACGGGCAACACAACGGCGCAGGGCGTCGAGATGAACAAGGCACGTCTCGCGAAGGAGGTCCTCGCCGAGATTCCCGACCAGATCACGTCGTTCATGAAGAAGCAGAACGTGAAACCGCGCCCGCCGCTGCAGCGACAGCCCACGCTACCGACCGCGCCCATGTAGCGCCACCTACCGACCGCGCCCATGTAGCGCCCCCTACCGACCAACGTGAAACCGCGCCCACCACTGCAGCGACAACCCACGCTACCGACCGCGCCCATGTAGCGCCACCTACCGGCCAATGCTACCAACGGCAACCAGATAGCTGTTATCCATCAGTACACGTTACCGTGTAGAAAGTTGGTTACATCAACAGTAGTGCGACTTGCTAGGGTAAATGTTATCGGCGCTGCCCGTACAGGGCGTGCCGTTGCCTTTGATAGTAGTGCAGAGATGCCAACCACTACGATTTATCCGTATTTTATACGAATTTCTATTTCTTTTGCACGACTACGACCAGTTTGTATCAAACTACGAATTTCACTGTGATAAAAAAAAAATTTTGACCCCCAGAATGCAGGAAATTGCATCTCAGAATCAAAAATTTTTCCGGGGGGCATGCCGGACCCCCCTAGCAAACTCGGGTCACTACGTGACCCTCGAACTACTAATTTGATGGCCAGAAACTACAGATTGCTTCAAATATGTGTTGGCATCTCTGGTAGTGTTGCTTGCCTTTGCAGTTTGTTCTAACCGTAGCGTAGCTGGTGCATCGATTTTTTATCGGTTGATTGGCAAATTGATCGAATCATGGTGAGCGACATTTCAGGGGTTATTATGTATTTTTAGTCGAGAACTAATATTGCTGAATGCAATTATATAACTGTGTTGTTGTACCCATACAAATCATTTGTGTCAAATGTCTCGCTTTTGTGGTTCGTTTCCCTGAAAGTATTTTACACGTATGTGTTTTTTTTATTTAATATTGTTTAGTTGTACGCATTAAGAAATCACTTTATTTCCATTTACACAGTTCAATGATGTCGGTATCAAGGATATCAATGCATCAAAATTTATATTGGAGTTTATCGGAGATTTTCTATTTTATTTTAATTGTTGCCATTCCCTTGTATATATGTTGACACCAGTTGTATCCGGAATGTGCACCCATGCAGCTATCATGATACAACGTATTTGTGTGTGCATGTAAAGTTTTTAACTTTTTAACTGTCGTGTAGTAGTATTTTTGGTTGGTCCGAGTCTAAATAGAACAGCGCTGGGCTAATTCCACTTGTTCTCTCCATTCTAAATGCATAGATGCAGGTGATGTATATATGTACTGTTGGCGACACCTCACGTAGGTAGATATAGTAATGTTATCGTTACATAGTTATTTTAAAACATGGAGTATTATGGGAATATTAGAGTATTACTGATGTGATTGTCACACGTGGAGATGACTAGTGATTTTTCCTCTGCATATCATGAGAAATTTGCAAGAGCTTCCGTCACATTTATCCCGTACATGTGGTGAATGCTGTGAATCACTGTTGTAGACTAGTTATGGAGTTACTGCATTAACTGTTAATGAAATTACGAATGCAGGTCACATGTATAATTCTGCATCAAAACTGACACCTCATCTACTTTGTGCCGAAATTTTGCTACTGCAATTGAAACCTTGAACTTTGAGGACTAACAGAAATAACTACTTTTTAACATATGAGAAGTTTGTAGGATAAAAACAGCATTTGTAAAGAGGTTGATTACCGTTTTCATCGTTTGCCATCTTTTAATGTCAAACAAATTATTTCTCTTAAAAAAACGTACTTTTTAAAAATAAAATTTATCTGTATATCAATATCAATATAATGTGGTTATCAGGTAAGATTCCACTATATTTCTTATTATCACACTGTTTATATATATGTACGTGTGTGTGCGTGCGTGCGTGCGTGCGTGCGTGCGTGCATAATCATACTGTGCGCACATGCATATACGGTTGCGTTTCTTACACAACAAATGCTCAAATTAGGATTCGTGCCCTACTAAAATCTTATTCAAAAATGGTTTCCATATGCTAGATTAAGAATTCTGTATTGACACCTCCGAGGCCTGTTGTAATATGAAAAGCTCACTGTAACAGGTACATACAGAGTACTAACACACATGTCAGTATTGTTCCTAAATCTTTATCGTGTAAAAAAAATTTATTTAAAAAAATTTGGACACGGACGTTTCCGATTAAGATGTAAATGACACATATGACTTTCGCGCGATTTCCAAACTGACATTTGACACAAGCAACGACTCGGTCACGCGTGGAGAAACGGTGGTCCCGGCTCCGACGACGCATGATGTAGCGATCCAGTCGGCTTTCTCAATCCTGCGGGTACGCTCTGACGATGACGATGTCTTCCAGGGGACGGTCTCCCTGATCCGTCTCCACCAGCCCCATCTTGTTTAGCACGCCTATGCCCTGACTGATGCGTCCGAATATCGCGTGCTTGCCTGCAGACGTGTAGAGGGAGATGCGTGCATTAATATGGTGCAGTGATGTGCGGCCATGCTATGGTGTGGCACCATACTACCCTGTCACCATCCCACACGCACGCACACGCGCGCGCGCCACACTAACCACCATTCCACACACACCAGCACCAACCACTACCCAACACACACACCAGTACTAACCTTAGCTCCTCTCTCACACAGCATTACATAATGTGAAACGATGACTGCTATAGAGAGTCAGAGCTAGGCAAAGGTTAGAGAGAGAGAGAGAGAGAGAGATAGGGAGAAAGAGCGAGAGAGAGCGAGAAAGAGAGACAGAGAGACAGAGACAGAGACAGAGACACAGAGACAGAGACAGAGACACAGAGACAGAGACAGAGAGCGAGAGAGAATGAGACAGAGAGACAGAGAGACAGAGACACCTACCATCCAGCCACTGTGTGGGAGCTAGCGTGATGAAGAACTGGCTGCCGTTGGTGTTGGGTCCTGAGTTGGCCATCGACAGTATTCCGGCACCAGTATGCTTCAGCGCCGGATGAATCTCGTCCGCAAACACCTTGCCATAGATGGAGGCGCCACCTCTACCTGTGAGAACAGACGGCGGAGGAGGAGTCTTACAAGAAATGGCAAGCTGAACGCGTCGAGTATGCTAACCAATTAACTCACGTGCAGTCTGGACCCTGAGACTCCCCCCACACTCTCCAACTTTGTTCTCGTTCCTGTCCCTGAGGTGGGGCAAAGTGCAGCACAGGTAAAGCTATTGTGGCTGCAGCTCTTTTCTCTACGAATCGCTACTACACACCTGTGGCAGAGCGAAGGGTTATATACGTGGGTAGAGCTACATGGATACCTGTGCGCGTCCGGATCGTGTACTCATGGTAGCAGCTCTCTGCTACTACACACCTGTGGCAGAGCAAAGGGTTACGTGAGTAGAGCTACACGGATACCTGTGGCGGTCGGATCTCCGGCCTGCACCATGAAGTCAGTGATGATGCGATGGAACTTGGTGTTGCCGTAATAACCTCGGCGTGCGAGCTCCGCAAAGTTACGACAGGTGTTCGGAGCGTGGTGCCAGTACAGTTCTACCACCATCCCGCCCATCCTGTAAGAGCGCAAAAAGCCACGTTTGGCAATAATACAATGTCTGTGTACATGTACAAGCATGTGTATGTTCATTGTATGTTCATTGATGATTGCATGTTCTTTTGTGACCAAACAAGCCGGCATTCATGAGATACTTCAGACTTTAGGACACTCTTAGTCTGAAATAAAGTATATAAACGACGGAATGTGTATACACGAATACATGGTTGTATACCAAGAAAATGGAAATGATTGAACAAAATGGTGTCGGTAACGATTGACCAAACAAAGAAGCTTTGTTACTAAATGATTGAACAAAATGGTGTCGGTAACGATTGACCAAACGTAAAAGCTCCTCTGGTGAGCAAACGAACTAGGGAGCGTCGCTAATGAATGACGGAACGAAAAGCTGGTGGTAACAAATGTGCTGACGTTTGTATGTGTTGGCCAGTGTGTGTGCAATGTCTTCCGTGGGGTTACCTTTGTTTACATGTCGGGGGTTTTCGTGAGAAATTCGAAAGCGGGCGATCGCATTGTGTTTTGACGTTTTCCAGCGACCAGCTGTTTCCGGCGTTGGGCTTCGGAGCGAGACTGCCACCAGAGGGCCGCGTGTCGCACGAGTTCTTCCTGGTACGTTTACAATGTACAGCGTTGATGAATTTGCCTGGAGTCTCATTTCATTCCACCATAGCTGCTTTCTTGTTGCATCTTATGCACAATATATACACACTCATATGTTTTATTGAACGACGTTTCACTCAAAGTTGGAATTAACTGTTGAATCGACTGTTCGATTTTTTGTATTATGCTTTCATTATCTGCACGTATATGCTCATCAGTAACGGTGATTGCGTGTCCGTACCTATAGTATACAAGTGTACTAAAGTACTACGGAGTATAAACTAATAGTGTGTAGATAATGGGTAAAATTTTGCTGGCATGCGATGTCTCATTCGTTCTTTCTCTGTCAAGAATGGGAACCCGGAGAACCCGTATTGTCAGGGAATCGATGGCGTGTTGGCTGCGTATCAACAGGCACTGCACACAGTACAACTGTACGGACCCACCAACTTTGCACCGGTTATCAATCACGTGTCCAGGTAGCGCCACTCATCCCCTAGCACCCACGGAATGCTCTCGTGTTTTGCCGTAGATTGAAATGAAATACGTCAGGACTTTTTTTGGTTGTTTTAAAGTTGGTCGATTTCTTTTCACTCTGCCACGTGTTTTGAGCATTTGAAATAGGCAGCTGTTCCCGGTCGAGTTTCTTATTACTATTATTATTATTATTATTATTGTTGTTGTTGTTGTTGTTGTTGTTGTTGTTGTTGTTGTTATCATTATTATTATCGCTGTTATTATTAGGTGAGTTTTATCAGCTTGGGGTTCCCAGGTTTGGTTCTACCCGACGCACTCGCATTTTACGTACGCCGCGCAGCGCTTCATTAATTACAGACGTCAATAATTACACGCTCGTTAATCACACACTCGTTAATTACGTGCTCCTTAATGACACGCTCGTTAATCACACACTCGTTGCACTGTCGCTCACTCGTCGAGGCGGTGTGGCTCGCAGGGAGATTGCGGTGGGCGTGCGTGCGTGGGGGGGGGCATACCAGCTGTATGCCGGTATGCCGGTATGTAGCTGTGTGCCGGGTCAAAGGTTATCTCGCCGAGTGTTGCGTTGATGTCCAATCTCCCTGCGAGCCACACCGCCTCGACGAGTGAGCGACAGTGCGTTAGTAGCTGCCTTTTGTTTGCAAGTTCGGCGGGGAATACTTTTCGATTGATGGCCAAAGAATGGATAATCGTGTCGTACGTTTTAGTCTGTATCTCCGGATTGCTTGTGTATATGAGGAAACGATTTTGCACGATGCTAGGCGAATGTACTGTGTACGATTTGGGCTCAAGTTGGATGAGTTACGCGTAGTAAATCGTAGGTATTATAAGGCTAGTAAATGACGAATTTTCCTTGTTTATTGATGTCACACTCCTTCCCTATTATCTACTCCTGATAATATACTTATGCCTTTATTTTTTAAAGCAGTGTCATCTGAGGAGGTATCCACCTGCAAGGTACGTAGGTAGAGCCACTAATGTGCATGCGTATGTGTGTGTGTGTGTATGTGCGCGCGTGCGTGCGTGCGTGCGCGCGCGCGCGCGCGTGTGTGCGCGTGTGTGTGTGTGTGTGTGTGCGTGCGTGCGTGCGTGCGTGCGTGTGCGTGTACAAGTGCTGTAAACTTTGTTATTGTCTGAGCATGTCTGTGGGGAGGGGGTGTAATCAGTGTGTAGTTTTTTCCTGTGAATTTCATTTGTAAAGTGTATGCCAATGTGGTGTTGATTAAGTTTTTACTGTGCAGCATTTTGCAACGGTGTTTGATGGGTTTAAGATCACTGCTATACTTATAAAAGCCACCGTGATTTGGCGATTTTCTGTTGTTGTATTTTGCGAAACTTTGACGGCAGGAGGAGGTAACGCTGCGATTCAACGCAAAGAAACTCGACAAGAAAGATTTCTTCGGAAAGTCTGATCCTTTTCTTTCCTTCCACAAGGCAATGGAGGATGGCAGGTGGGGGTTCCCCCATTTATTCCTATAAAGTTAAATGTTTCTTCTGATGTTGAGCATTTAGGAATGCGTATAAGTGAAGCAGATTCTCATGTCATCAGATCGCAATATTAGTACTTATATCATATATAATGTATTATATAATAATATGGAATTACTACTTATTACGTAGTATGTGCTATGGTGGAAACACCAGAGTAATGAAAACGTGGCAAACTGTGTTGAGAACAAAACATGGGTAGCTAGGGGAATATATGTTTTCAGCGATGATTGTATGTTTACATGATTATAATTATATACAGTTACAGATATACAGTACTGTTACAGATATACAGTACAGTTACAGATATACAGTACTGTTACAGATATACAGTACTGTTACAGATA